TAAAAGCTTTTTTCTTGTATTTAGTGTTTTAGTTTTCTTTTCTACTTTTAAAGTCATGCTTACTTATTTCTAACTATGTCACAAAGAAAAACGTTTGGTAAACATTTGATTTTTACTTTCATACAAGTTATTACATGTTTTCTTTGGCTCTGTAAAATGCATTAAATAACTAGCTTAAAAATTCTGAGGACTTCTTTAGATGCAATTATTAATTAATAAGACAAATGTAAAATCTCTCTTAAATTCTATTCACTCAGTGCTCTATTAAATGAAAATGTAAACATAATCCCTTACTTTAGCTTTTTAGTAAAAAAAAATTGTGATTCCTTTTTTATTGTAGATTTATATCTACGCATTTCTAGCTTAGAACTGTAGATTATTAGTGGTATAATGATGACAATTTCTTTCTTTCTTTCTTTCTTTCTTTCTTTCTTTCTTTCTTTCTTTCTTTCTTTCTTTCTTTCGACTACAACATAATTAGTAGATAGAGCAAGAGAAAAATATATATATCTCAATGAGAAATTTGTGAACAAAAACTGCAATATGTTTTACCGTAACAATGCAGGAAAGACATTGAAATATGGGAGATGGGTTTTTTTTCTTTCCCAATGACTCACTGGGGTTATACCTTGTCTTACTCATTTGAGTACAACATTTCTCTCCCCAAGCTTTACAGCCTTTTTGTCATAGTGATACGTAGGAGAAGAGAGAAAGAAAAAAAATGGAGCAAAGGTCTAAACCACTCAGTAATATGGCACCTGTAAAAATTATCTCCCTGAATTAACTGATATATGAGTCTATTTCTGTTTTATTATGGTTTTAGACTGTATGGTCTGTTGGCCTGTTTTAGATTATTTATTGAGTTTACAATGAGAGATGTTTTCAGCCTTTAATAATTAAACAGATATATCAATAATTGTTATAATGAAATGCTAGCACTGTGACCTTGAGACCTATTTATGACCATAATTCCACAGACAGTTAAATCCATATCTTTTTGGATTGTTACTCTTAGCAGATTTAGTTTGATGTGACTTTTTTTAGAAACCATCAGATAAGCAGGGTGGGATTGTTTTAAATACCAAGTTCTTACATCCATATTTTTTCCTAACTCAAAGATTAAGTAATTTGAAATAAAGAAAACCGCTGGAGCGATATATAGGATTACTAGACTGGAATAACCAGCTGCTTTTACAGACAGCTATAGGATTACGAGCCTGGAATTTCCAATCTGCGATACCTTACATGCACTTTGAAATCTTGTCATCCTTAATAGATGAGCGCATGGGCTTTTGAGATGGAATTACCCAGGTCATGTACCAGGATAAATAGTTTAGCTTTTAGCTACTTTTAACCTGGTGACAATTTAAGAAGGGCTTGTTTTTAAAAAATTCTCTATAAAAACATCCTTGTTTTCAGAATCTTAGCAGCTTTTGCAGACTCAAATCTGCAAAAAAATTACAAAAATACTCAACCATATGCCTTGCAAACATGACTTAATTTGATTTGTTAAATTGATATTTTTAACCCATAACATTTTTTAACCATTATTTCTTGCTTATACTGTAGGTCATCCAGTTTCCCAGGTTCAGTGGATGGGTGGGGTAGTTCTGCGTCTTCTTGCCTTAACCTACCTTACAATCCATTGCCTCTTTATTTTCCTATGAATAGAAAGAATGGGTTGTGTACATGTAATTAGCTCTCGTTAGGTATGAGTATGTAAAATAGAACAGAAGACATGCAAAAGGAAACACAGCCATAATCACAGGATTAAAGAACTGAAGGAAAAATCACTACAAACAAATAAAGCATATATTTATATTAAAAACCTATTAAAGATTTTACTAATCATAAATTTTTTTTTAAATAACAGACTTAACTATCATATCCACAGATCTGTTGTTTTGGTGTTTTTCTCTCCTTGATTCCAGGATACAACCAGGAGGTTCAGGCTCTGCTGCTGCAGCTTGTTAAGGTTCATCAGAAGCTTAGAGAGGGGTTACTGTAGCTCTCTGACAAACAGTCCAGATCTTTGGTAACAGAAGTGGAAATCAGTTTTTTTTATGTCCCTTGCTTCTTCAAGTTTTGTTTCTAGACTACCGTTTCTCTTCCAACAGAACAACAGATTTGCCTGTCATATCCAAGGTTTGTCTTCTGTGAGGCGCTTCCTGGGTCTTAAGGTGTGTGGAGAACTCCTAC